CGAGGCCGCCGTGCCCCGGCCGTCGCCGCTCGCGGTCCCCCGCCGGGCGCGCCGAGGGCTCTGCCTTTCGGGCCGCCCTCGCCGCTCGCAGTCGCGCTCGCTCGCAGTCGCAGGGCGGACGTGCCGCTCGCAGTCGCTGCTCGCAGTCGCGCCTTCGCCTCGCCTTTGGTCCGTCGCCGCTCGCAGTCGCGGGGCGGACGTGCCGGGGAAGCTCGGCGTGGTCGCCCGCGCCCGCTCGTCGCCGCACACTCGTTCTCCAAGAGCCTACAGCAACGGCACGGATGGAGGGCGGGTCGTGCTCGAAAGGGGGCTCTCCCCCCGGCGTCGCGCGCAGTCGTATGTCGAGCCTTCGGCAGCTGCAAGGATGGAGCTTTCGCTTCCACGCCGCCGACGTGTGCGCCAGAAGCTTGTAACAGCTACAAGGACGGATGGGGTCGTTTTCCATATGAGGATATCGCCTCAGCGCCGCGCACAGTCGTCCGGAAAGCATGCAACGGTTCCAAAGATGGAGGGCAGCTCTTCTCGAAATCGGGATTTCGCCCTGGCGCCGTACACGTTTAGTTCAAGTGCTCGTAACACCTACGAGGACGTAGAAGGTCGTTAAGAAAATATGGCTCTCGCTTGGTGCCGCGCATATTCGTTTTAAAAGCCTGCACCAGATCAAGGATGGAGGATGGATCCTTTTCAACATGTGGCTCTCGCTTGAGCCCTCCCTCGATTTAGTGGCTGGAAGGTTGGACGCATGTAACGGCTGCACAGATGGAGAGCGGTTATTGTTTTTAATGTGGGTTGTTGTTGTTGCTTAGATTCTTTCCCATAATCAGTATTGAAAACTTGCGCACTACAGACTCGGACGCATTTCTCCTTACTCCACAACAAGGCCCCGAGAACAACCGAAAGACAAACGAAACCTTCCGCGCCCAACCCCAGCCGCCTCAGCGGACAGGTGGTCCAAACGCCCCAGGAGGAGGAGGAGGAGGAGGAGGAGGAAGAGGAGGAGGAGGAGGACGAGGAGGAGGAGGAGGACGACGACGACGAGGAGGAGGAGGAGAAGGAGGAGGAGGAGGAGGACGAGAAGGAGGAGGAGGAGGACGACGAGGAGGAGGAGGAGAAGGCGGAGAGCGGGTGGAGCCTGGCTTCGGCGATCCTGCCTCGAAGGTCCCCACAGTCTGCCCGACTTGGGCCGTGGTTCGGCACGGCCCGATTTGGCTCGGCGGGGCGGCGCCGCGCAGTTTGATCGGCTTGGCGCAGCTTCGCCTGAGACGTCCTCGCGATTTGCTTGGTTTCGCTTGGTTTGGGCTTGGTTTTGCCCGAGAGGTCCTCGCGCAATTCGCTCGGTTTCGGCGCGCCTTCGCCAGAGACGGCCTCGCAAGGTGCCTGGCTTCGCGCTGGCTTCGCCTGGTTTGGGGCCCGGTTTCGCCTGAAACGTCCTCGCCATTTGCCTGGTTTCGCTTGGTTTCAGCGCAGTTTCGCCCGAGACCTCCTCCCAATTTGGTCGGTTCCCCCTGGTTTGAGCGCGGTTCCGCTTAAGACGTCCTCGCTATTTGACTGGTTTGGGGCCCTGATTTTCGCGGGGCTCTGACAAAATCCTTGGTTCGACCTGGCACACAGCGCGCATATCAGGAGAAATCTCCACAAGTTGCCCGGTCTGGGGCGCGGAGTGGTGGTCGTGGTAGTCGTCGTCGTGATGGTCGTCGTTGGCGTCGTCGTCGTGGGGGGCCAGACGCTCCAAGACACATTGTATTTGTCACATGGCGCAGGGAAGTGAAGGAATCAATCATTCACACGTGGTGGGCGTAAACATTCGGAACGTTATAGCCCCTGGGCAATCCCAAGACACATTGGGTATTCTCGATGTGTGTATGACAGTGAACTGGCATTTCACACACGTCGTGGGCGCAATTATTCGAAACAGGACGGAGTGTACTGAACACATACTAGCCCACATTCTGCACTGTTGTGCTACAGTATAACAGGGTGGGTGGGTGTGGACAAAGGGAGCGCAGTGTGTTGGGCCACTGTATCACATAGTGCATCCGTCGCGCACACAAATCCTCCTGTTATGCGGCATTGGACCATGTGGCGGCGTTCGGATAATACCTTTCCCAGCCTGTAGTTGCACGGATGAGGGCGATTCCGTTTCTGAACGGAGCCAGTGTTGGACATATAGTTAAATTCTAGGGTGATTAGTGGCGTGCTACATGGTCGTACTCTTTCTAATTCGTTGGAAGGATGCAGAGTGGTTCCTTTTCAACACGATGCTCCCGCTTGAATAGCATACTGATAAAATGTTCGTCTTTCAGGATGGGGCTCCTTGTGGTGACAAGGAAGGCCTGTACGGAGTTCTGGGGAGGGGATTTGGGATGGGGGGGCGCATTGCAGCCACGATGATGCTTCCTGAGTCCACGTGGGTCCTCATCGTTGCCTTCCACCTCCATTTCGTTACCATCCACGTCGTACCTCCTCCGCTTCGTTCTCGTCCCCCTCATCCCTCATCCTCCTCGTCGTTCTCACCCTCTTCCTATCTTCTCACTCCCCAATCCCTCTTCCCTTGCCTCCTTTTCTTCCTCCTCCGCTTTCCTTTTCCTCCTCCCCGAGGGCGTGGAGGAAGAGGAGAAGGAGAAAGGAGAAGGAAGAAGAAGAAGCAAAAGGTCGCGCAATGGAGGCCGAGGAGGCGAAGGAGGATGGAGCAGCAGCAGCAGCACGAGGAGGCTGCGCAGCAGGGGGGGCGGGAGGGAAGCAGCGAGGGGGCAGGGAAGGGGGGGGGCGGGGAAGGTCCCCCTCCTCCCTCCCTCCCACCTCCCCCTCCTCCTCCTTCCTCCTCCCCCTCCCTCCCCTCCTCCTCCTCCTCCGCCTCCTCCTCCTCCTCCTCGAGATAGGAGGAGGGGGGGGAGGTGGAGGAGCAGAAGGATGGGGCAGGAGGAGAAGGCAGGCGGAGGGTGGGGAGGAGCGCGCGGCGCGCCTCGGGAGGCTCGCCGGCGCCTCGCCGCGCTGGCGCTCGCGAGCGCCACGCGGCTAGCGCAGGGGCAGGTGTACGAGCTGACGGACTGGGCGGGGGAGGAGTTGAGTGGGATAATTGTCTGTATCTCTCCAGATATATATATATATATATACAAACAAACAAACAAACAAGCAAGCAAGCAGACAGACAGACAGACAGACAGACAGACAGACAGACAGACAGACAGACAGACAGACAGACATACATACATGCATGCATGCATACATACATACATGCATACATACATGCATGCATACAGATATATACATATATATATATGCACATATAGATGTGTGTGTTCCCCTTGTGTATCCCTCTCTGCTCTCTCTCTCTCTATCGGTCTCTATATGTCTTTCTCTCTTTCTCTGTCTCTCGTTCTCCCTCTCTCTCTCTTTCTGTGTTTCTCTCTCTCTCTCTCTCTGTGTCTCTCTCTCTCTCTCTCTTTCTGCCTCTCTCCCAGGGCTAAGCAAGGCTGAGCAAGTCTTAGCAGTGCTTAACAGAGCTTACCAGCCTTTAGCAGGGTTTAGTGAGGCTTACAAAGGCTTGCCTAGGTTTCGCAGGACTTAGCAGAGCTTACCAGGGTTGAGCAGGGCATGGCAAGGCCTATCCAGGCTTTGGGGCATACCAGGGTTTGCCAGGGCTTAGCAAGGTTTAGCAGAAACTAGCAGGGCTGAGCTTCCGCCGGCTGTACAAAAAAAACGTTCACCACTAAGATACCTTCAGGAAGTCGGAAGAGCCCCAACGAATGCCCTCCCCAGCATGGCCTTCGAAATTCCAAGCCCACGCCTGCCGGCAATGGGCTGAAATTTCGAGGACCATGCTCGGGGGGGCTTTTTGTTGTCGATTGGCAGTTATGTGTCTTAGAGATCCGCAGATCGCGAAGATATCGTCCAACAAAACTCTCCTATGCGTAACGATGCTGAAGAGGAGGATGAGGAACATGTGGAGGACTAAGGAGATGTGAAGACCATGAGGCGCGAAAGCCTGCACGTCTCATGTAACAGACCGCATACTCCAAAATCCCCTGGCCTCCACTCTCTCCCCCCTCCCCCTTCCTTCCCCCCCCCCAGCGCAGCGGCTGGCGCGATCTGGTCTCAAATGCGGGAAACATCACGGGGATGGGGGGGAAGAGTCGGCTCACGTACAGTCAAAAACCCGAATAAGGACGCGCGACTTTGCTCAGGGTACCCTTGGGTCCTTGCTCTTCCTTGCTCTTGCGTCCTTGAGGTTTTCGTCGTCCGCAGCCCCAAAAATTCCAACTTCGGCTTCCAAGGGTCTTGCGTCCTTACCGCGCGTCCTTCTTAGGGTTTTTTGACTGTAAGGGTGGTCATTCGCCCGGGTGGCCTCTGGTGCGGGCCCACAGGGACGGCCAGCCTTGCCTCGTGGCGGATTGCTTGCGCTGGGATCTGGCACACCCCCGTGGCCCCCGAAAGTCGCGCACGAAAGGTCACTCTGGCCACGGGCCACTCTGACGTGCATCCGAAGAAGGACGGATAGAAGAGGGATGATCAAGGGCATGAAAAACGCCCCTACCCTGGTTTACGAGGCGCTGTGCGCTGAAACTCCTGTGGGCTGACGGGGTAACCCTGCGTGATGTGCTGCGTCCTGGCGGCTCCAAGCTTTGGGGGGCCCCAGGAGGCTTACAGACCACGCACTTGTAACCCAGGGTAGGGTCGTTTTTTTCATCCTCAAGATGAGGGAGAGGCTACCCGCTATTACTATTTCAAATTCTCGCCAGCCATCGCGGTACTTGTTCACTTCATCTTGCCATCTGTGTGGATCTCCATCACGACCACCAGGTGGGCGCTTATTCCTTGCCCCAGCGGGCCTTGGTTCTATTACTTGTTCTTTTTCTGCAATGCATTGTTTCTGCTACGCCCACCTTGGTATTAATTGTCGGCCACAGCGCCTAAGTCTGTGCTCTTTCATGTATGCGTATGCCGGTTTTTTTCTAACCCTACAGACGATACGAACCCAGCCGATCTAAGTCTGCATGAGGTCAAGCGGGGGGGAGCGGGAGGGGGGAGGGAGGGAGGGGGAGGAGGTGCAGGCGCTGACGGACGTAGCGGGGAGAGGGGCTCGTCATCGTCGTCGTCGTTTTTTTGAGAAAATGTGTTTATCTTTTGCTATTATTTCCCGACCTAGGCTCTGCCTAGAAGGGTTCTTACCCTGTATGCTTAAAGGGCCGGGCAGTGTTCCCCGCCCCGGCGCGGTTCCCCCACTTGCGCCCCCTGGGTTCACCCAGCTTAGCTTAGCTTAGCTTGCTTAGCTTAGCTTTGCCTAGCCTAGCCTAGCGTAGCTTAGCTTAGCTTAGGTTAGCCTAGCTCATCTTAGCTTAGCTTGGCTTGGCTTAGCTTAGCTTAGCCTAGTCTAGCTTAGTTTAGCTTAACTTAGCTTAGCTTACCTTAGCTTAGCCTGGCTTAGCTTATCTCATATAAGCTTAGCTTAGCTGTGCCTAGCCCAGCTTAGTTTAGCTTAGTTTAGCCTAGCTTAGCTTAGCTTAGCTTAGCTTAGCTTAGCTTAGCTTATATCATCTTAGCTTAACTTTGCTTAGCTTAGCTTGGCTAAGTTTAGCTTTGCTTAGCCGGGCCCAGCTTAGCTTAGCTTAGCATAGCTTAGCTTAGCGCAGCGCAGCGCAGCGCAGCGCAGCGCAGCATAGCGCAGCGCAGCATAGCGCAGCGCAGCACTAGCACAGCATAGCATAGCATAGCTCAGCATAGCATAGCATAGCATAGCCAAGCATAGCATAACATAGCGCAGCATAGTAGAGCAGAGCAGAGCATAGCATAGCATAGCATAGCAGAGCGCAGCACTGCATCCACTATTGCTGCTGGAGGACGCATCCACAGCACAGCATCCCTCTTGCATCCACATCATACTATGCTATGCTATGCAGGACGCATGCGCATAGCATAGTATGATGTGCTCCTGCATCCACTATCACGACGATGAGGACAAGGAGGAGGACGGCGTTTACCGTTCCTACTAATGTTGCTTTCCCAGTGGCTCCAACTCCTAGGTAGGGTCGCACTGGGATAATTGTTCTCGCTTTATTTTTTATTCAACAGAAACATCTATATATGTAGGTGTAAATATGTGTATATATATACATGTGTATATATAATGTTGCATACTCTTGGAGGTTTTCCAGCCTCAGGGCGCGGTCCAGCAGCCGCGCCTGGCCGAGAGCGAGGCTGGATCGTCCCGAGCGGCCGCCGGAGACCCGAGCTGCGGCCCGAAGGCCGGGTGACAGGAGAGGGGCTCGTCCCTCCCCAGGCATGATCGCGTCGTAACAAAAAATAACTACATATATATATATATATATATGAACAAAAAAGAAAAACAAAACTAAAACAAAAAAAAGGACGGGCGGTTTGGGGCTACGTTCGGCCCTGGGGGGCCCTCGCCGGGCCTCGGGGCCGTCAAGAAACGACTCAGGAGGAGAAGCCGGTCCTGGGGAAGGGCTCGGGACTTCCAGGGGCGCCGCCGTGGAGAAGTCAGGACGTCGGCGGCCAGTCTCGTGTTGTTTTCTTCCGCTCTCGGTTCTCGGGGCCGCTCCCCGGCCCCCGGGGGCCATCAAGAACTCATTCGGGATGCGGGGGCGGAAAAGAGGGGGGTGATGGCTAAGGGGGGGGGGGATATCATGGCGTGGGCCATGATATTTCCCCAGATTTCATGGCGCCTCTTCTCATTTCATTACGTCCCTGGTCTCCCCCCTGGGCCGCGCAGATGCCGCCGGCCATGATTTGCACCCCCCCCTCTTGGACGCCCCCCTCTTGGCCGCCCCCGAGGGATGCAGGATCGTCCCCAGGGAACGGGTCGAGATCCCTCGGGGGCTGGTCCTGGACCCCCTCCTCAGGGCAAGTCGCGGCCCGATCGATACGGCTCGAGTCCGATGTTCCGACGGCCCAGGGTTTCCGGATGTTCGCATGGCGTCGTTGTGCATCCTGGAGTGGCCGATTTGATTCGATTCCGACCTTGTGTCGATACGGCCCGATGTCATGTTTGTTCTGGTTCGAGCCGACTTCCCGATTCGATGCTGCGTGGTATTGCCCCTTCTTCGGTTACGTGTGCCGGGTCAGAGAAATGGAGGGGATTGGGAGAGGAGGGATCCGAAATGTGCTGCTTGCAGTTGGTTTCGACCCCGCCGCTGGGCGTTTTCCTCCACATTTGGGCGCGTCCGGCGCCGGAGGGCGCCGGCTCACATTTAGGCAACGGCCCGCCCTCCATGCATGAAATTGCTGCAGGTTCTCAGTTTCAGGATCATGGATGGTGAGGACGTCTCAGGCGAAACGCCTGGCCCGCCCTACCGACCCGTCTCGGGGTGCGACCTAGTAGGGAGAGGGATGGAGGAGGAGGAGGAGGGGGAGGAGAGGAGGAGGAGGAGGAGGAGGAGGAGGAGGAGGAGGAGGAGGAGCCGCCCGCTCCCTGCCAGCCCCCGCCGCTCTCGCGGGCCCCCCCTGCAGAACGCGCCGCTGCCTCCGGCGAAGTCGCTGCAGGCTGGCCTCCCAGCGACAGCTGCGGGCTCCCCCTTCCTTCGTCGTCGCCGCCGCCGTCGTCGTCGTCGTCCACGTTTTCCTCCTCCTCCTCCTCCTCTCCCTCCCCTCTTCCTCCTCCCCCCTCCCTCCTCCTCCTCCTCCTCCTCCTCCTCCTCCTCCTCCTCCTCCTCCTCCTCCCTCCTCCCTCCTCCTCCTCCCTCCTCCTCCCTCCTCCTCCCTCTCCTCCTCCTCCTCCTCCTCCTCCTCCTCCTCCTCCTCCTCCTCCTCCTCCTCCTCCTCCTCCTCCTCCTCCTCCTCCTTCCGTGGCCATCTTGACTCGAGTGGGGCACCTCCCCACCTGGCCGTGGCAATCGCCCCGCGAGGCCCCCCGTGCCCCTGGCGCTTTCGCGGCCCGCCCTTCTTCCTCGGGCCCGCCCCTCTCCTCCTCCTCCTCCTCCTCCTCCTCCTCCGCCTCCTCCTCCTCCTCCTCCTCCTCCTCCTCCTCCCCCTCCTCCTCCCCGGGAGTGCTGCGGCGGCCCTGCCGCAGTTGCTGCCAGACGTGCTCGTCAGCGGCGGCGTCACCCTGCACCGCACGCGCTCCTGCGCCGACGGCTCTCCGCCGACGACGGCTCTCCGCCGACGCCGACGACGCCGACGACGACGACGCCGACGCCGACGACGCCGACGGCGCCGACGACGACGGCGCCGACGCCGACGACGCCGACGACGCCGACGACGACGGCGCCGACGACGGTGATGACGACGCCGACGCCGACGCCGACGACGATGACGACTTCGCCGACGACGCCGATGACGAAGCCGACGCCGACGACGACTTCGCCGACGCAGGGTGCGGCGACTCGGGCCGGACGAAAGGGGGGGATTGGAAACAAGGGGGGGTTACGAAATCTGCTGCATGCAGTTGGTCTCGGCCCCACCGAGGGGCCCGTTACTCGATGCATGGCCGCCTCCCGGCGCCGGGAAAATCAGCCACGTGAGCTGATTCTCAAGCCTCCCCTTTGCTATCCCTCCCTTTCGCCCGGCCCGACAGACGTGTTCGTCAGCGGCGGCGGCGCCCTGCACGGCACGCGGCCTCCGACCGCACTTCGTGCTCGGCGAGGCCGCGCCCCCTCCGGCGCGCCCGCCCTCACCGTCGGGAGTGCGGGCGGCGTCGCCCTCGGCTGGTCCTGCCCCCCGACGAGCGAAGGGCCCTACCCATCACGCCGCTGCAGCCCTTCCCCTGGGCGTGCGCATGAGCGACGAGCTGACGAAGGAAGCACGCTACATCCGAGAACACCGCGGACGCCACGAACGACAAGCGCCTCGAGGTGTTGAAGCTGTCGTGCACGCTCCTGTCGCTGCCGTAGCTCCTGGAGTGCTCCATGGCGATGACGCTCCGCTGCACGTACCTGCTGCTGCTGCCGCTGGTGGCGAGCACCTGCTCCAACCAGCATTCCTGCATGACCCAGTACATGGCGATGGCGTTATTCTGCACATATCCGCTGCTGCTGCCGCTGGTGGCGGTCCTCTGCATCAGCCAGTACCTCTGCATGACCCCGTCCCTGGCGGCTTCATGGCGATGACGCCCCTCCACACTTTCCTGTTGCTGCCGCCGCTGGTGGCGAGCACCTGCTTCAGCCAGACCATCTGCATGGCCACGCTCCTGCCGCTGCCGCCATTTGCGGCGAAATTCTGCGCGCCCCCGCCCCTGAAGACCTTGATGGTGGAGGCGACGCACCTGGTGGTGTGGCTGTGGTTCTCCGTGCTGCTGTCGAGCTGCATCGTGACGCTGCGCCATGTCGTGACGTGTCCGAGGTCTTCGACGTCCACTGCTTCAGGGTCCTGGAAGTTGGACCGCGGATTGCGACGAGAGTCGCATGCAAGTGCGTTCCTTCTTGCTGTTTTGGCGATGACTACAGGCATTCCCACCTGGATGAGCTCTCTGAGACCGAGGTCGCCGTGAAACACGCGCGCCTCTCTCACTTATGTTTGGAGTGCGATTCTGCGAAGCCGCTGGCGACGTCCCTCTGGCGTGAGCGTGCTGCTGGCCGCAGTGCTCCTGAGATTGTTGAGCTTTCTCGAGGCGTCGGTGCCACTGCATCCGGTGATCTTCGGCTTGGGTGCGCAAGGCTACACCTCGAACGTGCTGATCATCCTGATCATCCTGAACGTGTCGGCCATCCACGTGCACCCCTGCATGGTGTCAAGCCTAATCTCCAGCATGGAATACGACCACCTGCTCTCCAGCACGATATACATGGTGATGGCGATCCACAGCACGATCCCCCGCCTCATCTACAGCATGACCGACAGTCACACGGTGATGACCGGCAGCAACATCGCCTAAGGTCTAAGTCATGACTTCGGCACGATCTACAGGTCCAACGCGATGGCGCTCGAATGAGGTGCTACGCGGGCACGGGCCTCCTTCGCTGAATCCCACTGCGTTGGACCTCTGCCTCGCCTGGCATCGCCAAGCTGGGGGGGGCGAGGCCGCTGCTCCTCCACGCGCTCCTCTGAAGGTGGGCAAGAATAGGAGAGCAACGAGAAACCCGAAACGAGTACGAGCAGAACAGGACAAGGACAGCACAGACGAGGAGAAGAGAAGGGTAAGCAGGAGAAGGACGAGGCCGCCTCTCCTCAACATGCTCCCCTGGTGGTGGGCAAGAAGGAGAATAAGGAGAAAAAGGCAAAGGCAAAGAACGGCGAAAGCAAAGAGAAGGAGGACAACACAGCAAAGGAGAAGAAGGAGAAGAAGGAGAAGGATGGCAAGGATGGACACGATGGCGCAACGGAGAAGGACAAGGAAAGGTTGCAAATGGCGCGAAGGTTGCTCGTCTCTGCGCGCCCGCCCTGGCAGTGTGGCTGGTTCCGGGCATTCCGACAACATGAAGATCAAGAAGTACAAGTCTCTGGGGAAGGAGACCGCGTTTCATCGGGATGCGCTGCAAAACGCGTTGAGCAAGATTCGAAGCGCATGCCCTGACTTCCCCCCCGTCAACGGCACCTGTGCGACCCCGTCCACCGCGACGGCCCGATCGACTTCGGCGCAGGCGACGCCGAGTCCGCCTTCGAAGGCGGCATCTGTTTTGACGTCTCGACCCCCACGGCGGCTACCCTCAACGGCACTCTGCAGGCCCGCAACGTCTCGTTGGGCCCCGCAGCACGTGCCCCACAGCCTGCTGCGAGGCAGGCACCCCTGCGCCGCCCAGGCGCCCGTCCAGGAAGGAGGGATCGCTCTCGGGTCGCTCGTTCCCCCTCGTCATCACCATCCTTGTCTTCCGCCTCCTCGTCCTCCTTCTTCCCCCCTCTCCTTCCCTCCTCCCCCACCACTACCTCGTCTCCATCACCGGCATCATCATCATCATCATCATCAGCATCATCATCATCATCATCATCATCAGCATCAGCATCAGCATCAGCATCAGCATTAGCATCAGCATTGTCTTCTTCATCATCATGATCACCATCATCATCCTCATCCTCACTCCCGTCGTCCTGCGTCGCCCCCTTTGTCATCCGCCGCATCTTCCCCATCCGCCTGCCCCTCGCCCTCTCATCGCCCTCCTCGCCCCTGCCCCCTGTTCCGCTTCCTCGTCCTCCGCCTCGCACTCATCCCCCCCATCCAGCTCCCCACACTTGTCCTCCTCCTCCTCGTCGCCCTCTTCTCGTTGAGCCCTGAAGGGGTCGCGCAGTCAGGGAGAGCCTTCTCGAGGTAAGCTTGCCGCCCTCGTGTTTTGAACACATTTGGTCTGGTTCGTTTTCCTTTTTTTTTCCCAGGGCCCCGCCCTCCCCCTCCCCCTCACCATCTTCCTCCTCTTCCTCCTCCTCCTCCTCCTCCTCCTCCTCCTGCTCTGCGTGCCGTTCCTGCTCCTCCCCGTCCTCCTGTTCGCTCCCGCTCCTCCTCGGGTCCCGCTTCTGGTTCTCTCCGCCCCCCCCCGCTGCTGCTCTTCTTCCTCCTCCCCCAGCCTTCAGTGAGATAGGAAAGTGGCGCGGGGACCTGCTTGCTTGGACCCAAGGTGGCGGTGGATCCACGGTGGCCAGTCTTTTCTCCCAAGCCCCATGTCGCAAGGGGGTGGATCTCCGAGTTCGGCCGCGCACCAAGCTGAGGCCACATGTGCTTTTGACGGACTCACAGAAGACCTGCTGTCAGTCGTCATTTCCGAACGCTTCCTTGCGCGGTTTGCCCTGGACACGTCATACTGCAAGGCGATCCGAAGCCTCGGCGAGCGGGACCATCGCGTGGAGCGCAGGACAGAAAGCGCGTGCGGAACATAACGGCAGCGGGCTTGGAGCGAGTGAGTCGCCGCAGGGGGGCATCGGTTGATTGCCTCAATCGAAGCGCGTTGCAGCGTTTCCTTGCGGCGCGGCGTGAGGGGTTTGGGAGTATTGCCCCGAGGCACACCGAGGGGCTCTCTGGGGGCCTCTCTGACCGCAGCCGTCGGGGGCGGTCCAGAGATCGCTTCGAAATCATCTGCATCCTTGATTGCGTTTTGATTCGTTTGCTGTAAAGTGCGCCCGAGGAGCACGACCCGCGACTCGGTGGATCCCGTGTTTGTTCGCACGCGGCCTTCATTATTTCGTTTTGTCTGGTGACGGGGGCCTCCTGCTACACATTTCGACGCCTTCAGACTGGTCGCGCGAAGCTTGAGTGAGGCACAGGGACAGAGTCCAATAGAAGGGGCGCCCTTTTCTACCGCGCGGCGCCTTCTTCACTACATTTGTCTTGCAACGTATGTGATCCAGATTTCAGCGAAAAGTCTTTCGCTTTGCCTCAGCTTGGAAACGCATGCGGCCTTGTATCACGTGTTGCTGCGCGGCACCGAAGCTCCCGCACGCGATCACGAACACCGTCACTGCTTGTTGTGGCATCGCCGCGTTCTGCGGATGGGGCCTTCCTTCCGTCCCTTTTCTGTCCCCTTTGGGGACACGATGGCAGGCCAGGCCAACCGCCCTCGCATGCTGCGCGCCGCTGACGTCTCCACGTCTGCCTGGTGAGCCCCCCCACCTGCTCTGGCAGC